TTAAAAAAAAAAGGAAGATTTATTTATTTATTTAGACATACAGAGCTGAGGTACAGGCCAGAGGTGCAGGGGTGGGGAGAGGGTTCACCAGAGACAGAGCGGGAAGCAGAACAGGTAGATCAATGAAGTACTGAGGGGAGCAGCGGATGAGTCAGGAGAGGTCTGCTGTGCCATGTGGATCACCTCTGGAGCTGGGGATCAAACTTGCACCAAAGCAGCTGCAGCAAGCTTGTAGTGCTGTGTCCTAACCCATTGTGCCACCAGGGAGAGCCATAATTTTTATTTTTACTTTTATTTTACAATTACTTTTTTTTTTTTTTTTTGATCCCTTATGCTCCTGCTATAAGTGAAACCATCTGGTATTTTTCTTTTTCTTTCTGGCTTATTTCACTAAGCATGATACAGAAGGACATCTTTTGACACTATGTGCTGTGTGCCATTTTGCATAGGTTTGAAGTTTTACCATAAAGGATACCTGGAATTGGAACTGCTAAAGCATCTATAGTTAAATATCTTAACAGAGACTGCCAAATTGTCCTCCAAAATGATCACATGAATGCTCTTTCCCACCAGCCAAGGGTACATCTCTCCCCATGTCCTTGCAAACTGGGTATTAATAATCTTTTTTGTTTGTTTGTTTTTTATGAGTTTAAGTCCAAGGAGCCAAAAACGCTCTCTTGTGATGTCTTTATCCTGGTTTTCTTGACCACTGTGAGGTCCAACACATTCATGTGTATTGGTCATTCACATTTCTGCGGTAGATTTCCTACCCTTTGCTCTCTTCTGCTCCCTGCTTGCCTCATCCCTTTCGGTCTATAGCCCTGTGCAGAGGTGTGGCATAGGCTGACTTGGGTGTCTGAGGAGGCTCCTGGGGTGGGGGAGCCTCACTTCTGTCTGTTCCCTTTAGAATCGCCATGACATGCTCTTGGTGGAACCACTGAACCGACTTCTGCAGGACAAATGGGACCGATTTGTCAAGCGCATCTTCTACTTCAACTTCTTTGTCTACTGCCTGTACATGATCATCTTTACCACCGCTGCTTACTACAGGCCTGTGGAAGGCTTGGTGGGTCTGGGGCTCAAGACTCCGAGGGAGCGAGGGGTGTGGGGCTGGGTATTTCTGTATGACCCCCAAGATGGTAGGCCCAGGCTGGGTCCTGAATTCCTGGCTCTGCTGGAGGGGTGGAAGGGGCACCCCTTTTTCCCTTTCCTCTCTCAGCCCGTCTGGGAGGCCCCCCCTGCCACCCAGCTCCTATTGTCAGCCCCAATCCTGTAGCTTTCTGATTCTTTGATGTTAGCATGCAGGAGTAGGTAGCCAGGGTCCTTGGTTGTAGGGGGAATATGGGGTTAGAGAGGAAGCAGGGACTAGGGTCCCAGAAGCCCCTGTCACCTGGACTGTGACTGCTGGCTGATGGGTGAGCCCTGAGTTCACCTGCCCACTTTGTTCACACACTTACTCATGACTTGCACCCTGTCTACATACTTATTGTGTTTAAAGTATATTTACTTATGCATACAGAACTGGGGTACAGGCCAGAAGTGTAGGGACAGTGAGAGGACTCATCAGAGACAGAGTGGGGGGCAGAACAAGCAAATCAACAAAATACATTGCTGAGGGGAGCAGTGGGTGAGACAGGAGAGGTCTGCTGCGCCATGAGGGTCACCTCCCTGACCAGGTTTGAACTGGTGCTGAAGCGGCTGCAGCTTGCTTCCAAATGCTGCATTTTAACCCCTTGCACTACCAGGGTCCACATACTTTTGAGACTTTCTTCTGTGCCAGATCCTGGACCATCCACCAGACCAGACCAGGCTTTTTCCTCTACTGGAAGCCATGGATTCTGTCAAATTTCTGCACTGAATTCTGTCTGGCCAATACCCAAAGAGTGAATTTGCTGCCCTCAATGCCTTGCTTGTAAACTTGATTAAAAAAAATTTTTTTTTTCCTAGGTGAAACCTGCTTTCTATCCACCGATGTAATGGCTTTATTTGACAAGGAAAGAAAAATGTGCTTATATGTCAAGCAAGTGAGCTAGTGTTTATGAAACATCAGTGTAGACCAAAAGAAAACCCTCTCTAGGAAATGACAGCTGAAACACGCATGTGTGGGACGTCTCTTTCCACATTCCCGCCCTGGGAGACCAGGGCTTCACCAGGGCCAGTGGGACCAGCAGGAAGCACATGGCATTGGTCTGTGAGAGGCCTCCCTCAGCACCCCAGCCCAGCAGCTATCAGGTGCTTGTTGGGATGTTCCACTGGGTGCCTGGAGACTGCCACTTTGGGAATCATGCTGTACAGAGGGCCTCCTTGCAGGAATGCCCATAATAATGTGTTGCTTATGTCTCTCTTGATGGAGGCTGAGCTGCTGAACCGCTTGGGCAGGAGCTGGGTCTTGATCCTAGGGCTTAGCACCCAGGTAAATCTTGGTCAGATGATGAATGAATGAGTGAGTGAAAACTGTCACTAACTTCTCTGTACCTTACAGCCCCCCTATACGATGAAACACACTGTTGCAGACTATTTCCGGGTCACTGGAGAGATTCTTTCTGTATCAGGGGGAGTCTACTTTTTTTTCCGGGGGGTAAGTGCTCCTTCTCACATACTGGGTTTATTTGTCACCTAATTGAAAAGCCGGGAGACTCACCCAGTTCTCGCCTCACTCTTTAATTCACTGGATATGTGAGGAGTGGAGAGATGCATGAAGGAGGGGGAGCCCTCCAGACATTGGCGACTGGGGGTGGGCTCTGCTCCGTGGTCCCTGAGGGTGCAGGGAGTCATGCTTGAAGACTGAGGGTTCTCCATGGAATGAAATATGTAGAAAAGACACTGTGGAAGCTTTGTCATCTGAAATGACAAGATGAGGGCTGGGACTTGCTTAATTCATCCAACACAGCTTGTTATGGCTTAGAACAATGAAAGAAATGCTTAGCATACTGGAACCCTTCCGTTTTATTTGAAGGTTCTTGCTTACATGCTCATTATTTTAATATCTGAACCTTCTTTGCATGTGAGCCTGGTGAGAGATGAGAATGTGGAATTTGAGACTATTGTAAGTCCCCTCTCCCAATCTTTTTCACGTATGTTATAACTCGATTATTTTAGTAACTTATTTTTATGGCAACTTTTCTAGTTAGTGGACAGTTTTCATTGTGTTATTTCACTGTCATGATTTTGGCCCACATAGTTTATGTTATAGTGAAGCACAAGTTTCCGAAGCAGGTGCAGTAGACAGAGGCCGTCTTGGTCCAAACAGGATGAACTGGTGGGAGGAAGCATGAGGGTGACCTCAAGAGACTTCTGCCAGTGTTTTCAGGGAATGGAGCACACTGGTTAATCTGGTGAATTGGCTCAGGGGAGACTGGTTATAAGAAATCTTACTGTTGTGTTTTCTTAAGACATTTAAGGAAAATCTCTCATAATGAAAGAAGTCAAAAAAATCTCCTAATTCTGTCACTTAAGCATAGCCATTGACAACATTTTGGTGATTTTCCTTTCTGTCTTTGCTTCTAGGAACAGTCATTCCACTCTATCCCTTTAAAGTCCCCCTGGACTGAGTCACACATTAGCCCCCTAGCCTGACCCACGCAGCTCTGTCATACTCTCTGCATTTTGACGTCAGTGTCCCAGCAAACTGGCATTCAGCCTTCTGGGTGTTCACCATTTAGCCACGTCTAAACATTTCTGGAATCTTCCTCTGTCTACTTACCTGCAGATTCAGTACTTCCTGCAGAGGCGGCCATCTCTGAAGACCTTGTTTGTGGACAGCTACAGTGAAATGCTTTTGTAAGTGACCCTGACTCAAATGCACATGAACAGACATCTTTTGGCCAAATCCTGAATGTACAGCAACCAATTCTTACTTACTCTCTTACATCCGGTGGACCTGGAACATGGCAGGCCTCCACAAACATGTTGAATGAGTGATGGCAGGCACTCAGTGGGTGAATGCTCACGGGGTTGTGGGGAGGACATGCCAGAAATATACCAGGTGCTAGGAAATGACAGGCCTGTTCTGGGTGTGGTTTAGAGTCTGAATTAGATATATTCTTGTCCCTTTGCTTCATCCATCTGGATTCACTGAGATGAAGTAGATATGACTATTGTCTTCAAGCAATAGCCAATCTTCAGGGTGGGGTTTTTCAATCTTTCACCATGGACATTTTGGGTTGCATTATTTTTTGTTGTTGCAGGGGGCTGACCTGTGCGTTGTAGAATATTTAGCTGCATCCCTGGCTCTACACATTAGACACTGTAACTCTCTCCCTGTCCCCTGGCCTTAACACTTAAGGTGTCTCTAGCTATTGCTAAGTATCCCCTTGCTCCTAGCATTATACACATGGCAAGTACAAAGCTCTTCTGAATCTGGGTCCTAAGAAGTGTTTTAGTTTTTGTTTTCCTTTGTAAATCTGCAATATCTACCTTCTGTTCCTCATGTTCTGAAATTTAATCATATATCTTGGTGTGGATTTGTTTTCGTCCAATGTTCTAAATACATCATAGGCTCTTTCAGTCTGGGAATTTATGTTATTTTTAAGGGTATTTTCTTGAATTATTTCTGGCTCTCTCTTGGAATGTCAATGATTTATATAATAAAGCTCTCAATCTAGTCCTAAATCAGTTCTTATACTCCCTCATGTGAATTCTCTTTGCCCTTGGTTCTTCTTTCTGGGAAGTTCAAATCAATTTAAATGCCAACCCCTCGATTGAGTTTATTATTTTTGCTATCATGTTTTTAATCTCTAAGTGCTCTTAAAAGTAATTCTGTTTATTCTATTCTTGTCTTATGTTGTAATGTCTTGTCTCACTAAGGTTACTAAGTAGTTTTTGGTACATTTTCTGCTTTTTGCACATTTTTTTTTATTTTCCTGGTTGTCACACAACATTTGCTTATCTTAACAGTTCTCTTTTATGTTAGAGGGTATCTTCAGAATATCTGGAATTCTTTGGTGTCTCTTCATGATCAAAAGAAAAGCTAGTTGGAAGCTATAATTGTGCATTATATCTCATCAATTTTGAGTTTCAATGTAAGGTCCAGATAATAGGTTATCTAGCAACTATCTAGATAATTAGCTTCACTCACAGGTCTAGATAAGCCATTTAATGGTTTATCCAAAGACAGTCCATTAAGCTCTTTCTCTCTGGGGTTGGCAGATATCACAGAGAGCATCTTTTTAATCTTTGGAGGGGAGCAGTCTGGCTGCCAGCCTTCTGAGAGCCGTGTGGGGAAGAGGGTTTTCGTAATCGACAGTCTGCAAAAATAATATAATCTGTCTTCGGTCAAATTGCGTGCTTTAACTGATGTTGGACGACAGTGATCTTCTGTTTTGTCTTCTTCAGAGACAAAACCTCCCTTTCCTTTCCCTCTTCACCTCCTCTCCAGGGTCCCGAGCCTTTGGCGAGTCCTTGGTTAAGAATTCATTATCTTTCCCCGTCACTTGTTTTGGTTTGTCTCTCGTATCTGCTTAGTCGGTTTCCACTTGTTCACTGCTCCCCAGCTTCCAGAATTCATATATGGGAAGCCCACTTGCCACCAGAGGCAACATTTTATCTATTTCAACTAACATCAGTTTAAATTCTGGCCAAGGTTGTGCCAATGCAGAGGAATAGTTTTTCCTTGCAGCAGAGCTCCAGCAATGAGTCCGCTCACTGACACCAGTTTTCAATAGACTCAACAGGTTTTTTTTGGTTCTTTCACACAGGGGGCAGGTGAGGTGGCGGGTGTGGTCTACAGCATAAATTCAGGTCCCTCTGGAGGAGGCCATGGTGAACTGGGACACCTGGGCCAAAGGACCACTGCACAGACCTTGTCATAGGTGACCCAGATGCGTCCTCTGTCCCGGGCTTCCACTTGGGCAGCCCCCCTGGACCGAGGGGCTGAGGGGTGTTCCCCCCTCACTGTGCTCCTGAGTTTGAGAGTGCGGCCTGCAGGCTGTACCTGTGGCATTTCAGAAGAGCGTGGCCCATCCCTCTTCATGGACTTACACCCCCGAGGTTCTCTGATGCCCAGTGAAGCTGCTGACCGTGGGAACCGGTCAGAGAGGTTGTTAGCGCTAAAGCAGTGTTTCTTAGGTTTTCCTTATTGCCTTTTATTTTTTTTAAGATTTATTTATGCATACAGAACTGGGGTACAGGTCAGAGGTGCAGGGGTGGTGAGAGGCTTCACCAGACAGAGTGGGGAACAGAACAGGCAGATTGATGAAGTACACTGCTGAGGGGAGCAGCGGGCGGGTCAGGAGAGGTCTGTCGCGCCATGTGTGTCAACTCCGGGGCCAGGGATTGAACTCATGCTGAAGTGGCTTTAGTTTCTTAGTGCTGTGTTCTTACTTGTTGTGCCACCAGGGAGGACCCTCCTTATTGCCTTTTAAGACCTTTTCCCCCAATCGCTCCTCCCTTATTGTCTGATACCAAAAGTACACTCTATAGCTATTTATGTGCTGTATTTATATCTGTGCTTTATATGTAAAGAGAATAAGGTTTGTTCCCCTTGGGGTTGCTCTTGCTCCCAAGGAAAATCATGGGCTAATGGAGACAGGCCATTGGCCCAGATCCTACCAAGGCCACAGCCTGTGCTTCTGAGGAGGCACAACTGGGGTCTGCTATCTGTGGGATGCCAGGGCTCCTGAGTGCCCTCAGACAGAACCCCCTAACCTGCCACCCTCAGCTTTGTGCAGTCACTTTTCATGCTGGGGACTGTGGCACTGTACTTCAGCCACCGCAAGGAATACGTGGCCTCCATGGTGTTCTCGCTGGCCATGGGCTGGACCAACATGCTCTACTACACCCGCGGCTTCCAGCAGATGGGCATCTATGCTGTCATGATTGAGAAGGTGGGTGCCAGCACCTGAGTGGGCTCCCTACCAGGCCACTTACTTTGTGTCTGCATGGACACTGTCCACCAACCCCATCCATCCTTTGTGTTGTCTCAGGAGGTGCTAGCTTAGCTCGGGATCCACTTTCCCAGCGGATTCCCCAAGAATCAGATAATTTGGCCTTGACTCTTGATCCCCTATCTAGTAGTTACCACCTATCCCCACGCCATTGCCCACCCCCTGAAGACCATGGCGGGGAGCTGTGGATGACTCCTTTATGACAACCTAAGCCCCAAACCAACCTATTCTGCATGTTCTGTGGGTCTACTTGGGCTCAAGATGAACCCACAAGCCAGCACAGCCTGGCCCTTCTTTGGGCCTAGCTGGGGCTGGCTCTGACAAGCTTCTCTCTCTGCAGATGATCCTGAGGGACCTGTGTCGCTTCATGTTTGTCTACCTCGTTTTCCTGTTTGGGTTTTCCACAGGTAAAAGGCTTGGCCAGACTCATAGGAGGGCAGGGGTCCTATTGGCCTTAGCTTCTCAAAGACTGTGTCAGGGGCTGGGGAGACGGGGCCCTCAGGGGTGTGTGTCTGAGGTGACAGAGAGGTTAGCTAAAGGATATATGGCAATGAGCAGGATAACTTGCGAGTCATAAAATGTTTTAAGCAATTTTTTTTTTAAAGATTTATTTATTTATTCATACAGAACTGGGGTACAGGCCAGAGGCTCAGGGGCGGTGAGAGGCTTCACCAGAGACAGAGTGGGGAGCAGAACAGGCAGATTGACGAAGTACACTGCTGAGGGGAGCAGCGGGCGGGCCAGGAGAGGTCTGGCTCGCCATGTGGTCTCCTCCGGGGCAGGCGGCAGGCGGCAGGCGGCAGGCGGGAATCGAACTCATGCGGAAGTGGCTTCAGATTCTCAGTGCTGCGCTTTAACCCGCTGCGCCACCAGGGAGGGCCAGTTTTAAGCAATTTTTGAAAGACAAAAGGCTGCTTGCCTGTAGGATGACTGCATTTTGGCTTAAAAAAGTTTTTAAAAAAAAAACTTTTAAGTTTGACATTGTTTCAAGCTCTCAGAAAAATTGCAAGAATCATACAAATTTTACTTTTTTTGTTTCTTTTTAATCAGTTCACACACACATGCACACACTCACATACACACCAGACTTTTTCAGGGTAAGTTATAGACACTATAGCCCACTATATTGGCTAAAATATGTGTTTCCTAAAAACAAAGACTTTACCCTGTATACTTGTAAAAGTATGTTTCCTAAAAATGAATTATTTTATATAAACACTGTATAGTGATCATGTCAGGAAATGAACATTAATATAACACTTTGAGCTCAGCTACCACCTAACTCAATTTTTGCCCAACTGTCCTGATGATGTTTTTTACAGACACAATCCCAGACCACATGCACCAGTCAAAGGTAATGCCTCTTTCTCTCCTCGCTCTTTCTTTGCCTTTTGGGTCCTTAGCCTTTTGTGAAGACCAGTTTTTTTGGTCCAGTGTGTCTCAGTTTGGGCCTTTCAGACATCTCCTCATCATTAGATTCAGGTGTGTGTCCTTGCCCAAAATGTCAAGGAAGTGACATGTCTCCCTCATTATGGGAAGGAGTTCCATGACCTCTTTGTCCAGTTCCTGCAAATGTTAATTGCTTGTTTTTGCTGGGTTTGCCAGATTTTCCCATGATCACATTATTACCTTGCCCTTTGTAATTGAAAAGGAATTTGTTAGACAATGCTTTGAGACCATGCCAATATTCCATTTCACTGGTGATTCTCACCTGTTCCTATGACGGTTACCAAATAATGATTTTCTAACTCCATCATTCCTCCTACATTTACTCATTACCATTGTGTTATAAGGAAGGGTATTCTGTTCTCTGACTTCTATTTATTTAGTTACCTCAGTGTGGCCTCATAGATTTTTTGCTTTTCCATATGGGATTCTCATTTGGTCAACTAGGTTCTAACTCCTTACTGTTATCATGTAATGTTCATACTGTTCGAGAAATGGTTATTAGCAGCCCTGTCCAGCTAGCTCCATGTCCTTTTGACACAGACACAGACACACACACACACACACAGACACACACACACACATCATTTTTGAGCACCTGGCTCTGTGTTGATCCTTGCCTGACTCCTGCAGTTACATGGCTCACGTGGAATACTGCCCCTGCCTCCACCCTGCAGCCTGGTATTGAGTCTGTGGCTGAGGGTGACGGGTGGCTTTGACTGACAGGGGTCAGGGTGGGCCTCGGCACCCGTTCTGAAGGCCCTGCGTATCTGTAACCATGGGAAGGGATTAGGCCAGAAGGGCTATGCAGCACACTGGATTTGCAGCTCCCATGGGAAACAATTGTTAGAGGAGCTCTCAGGTTATGGACTACATTTCCCAAAGAAGAATGTGGAATTCAGGGAGAAGCTATTCTAATGTGAGTGGCTCAACCCCCATGGTCCTGATTCGGGCTGGTTCAGGGCCACTCTTTAAGGGGCACAGGCAGACAAGACATGACTGAGAACATGGGTATGATCCCACGGATGACATTAAGGTGAGATAGGCTGTGCACTGCACAGCGGTGGGTTATTCACATTGTACACATAGATGTATGTATGGGTTTCAAGTTTTTTCTTCAGTGATGATAATAAAGTAGATTACGACACTTTTAAAAATAATTTTGAAGAAGGGGGTGTCTTTGTAAAATAAATTCACACAAAGGCACTGCCTGACTGAACAGCATTCCTGCTGCAGACCCACCCTGGGGTGAAGGGTGTATATGTTAGGGGGGCGTGGGGGCTTGGTTTCTGCCCAGCTATAGCCCTCCTTCCCTGCGCCCTGTAGCCGTGGTGACACTGATTGAGGATGGGAAGAATGATTCCATACAGGCTGAGACCACCTTACATAGGTGGCGAGGGTCTAGCTGCCGCCAGCCCGACAGCAACTACAACAGCCTGTACTCCACCTGTCTGGAGCTGTTCAAGTTCACCATCGGGATGGGTGACCTGGAGTTCACAGAGAACTATGACTTCAAGGCAGTCTTCATCATCCTGCTGCTGGCCTACGTGATTCTCACCTATATCCTCCTGCTCAACATGCTTATCGCCCTCATGGGTGAGACTGTCAACAAGATCGCACAGGAGAGCAAGAACATCTGGAAGCTGCAGGTGGGCCAGTGTGCAGCAGCGAGGTGTGGGCTATCTTGTCGGTCACTGAACTCAGCTGGGTGCCTGAGTCCGTATAAGGTGTGAGGCAGGGGCAGAAACCCAGCCAGGCCCAGGGGATCGAGCAACAGCTTCTCCCTCAGTCAACTCACAGATGCTGTGTTTGTGGGCTGGAAGGTCTCGAAGGGAAGGAGAAGAAGGACTCAGACGCTCAGGCTGCTCACCTCAGAGGAACTTGGTATAGAGTGGGCCTCAGAGACTAGACTTGGGGGAACAATATACGGGGGAAGGCCCTGATGATTGCATTTTGAGCCACCTGGCTTATATCTGTCTCCCCAGCTGATAAAGTGTTATTCTTGGTATGTGGCCATGCCAGGTGCTGTTGCTGTAAGTGTCTTACTTGCTCTCATTTAGTCCTCACCACAATGCCACAAAGTGGGTGTAATTATCCCAATGTCTGGGTGAGCAGAGGCGCTGACGCATAGGGAAGTCAGGGACCTGGGTGCGAGGCAACGAGTCAGGCACCTCCTCAGGATTCCACCTAGGCTGTCTAACTCCCGAGGCCCTGCTCTTAACACTGCCCCTCTTTGTGAGATCCTCAGGGAAGTGTCCGGGGCTGGGAGACTCACAAACTTGCAGGTTGCCCTGCCTAGATCCACAGGAACTAGCTATGCCTGGGCTGGGAGGTTGCCTTCCAAGCAGTGAGCTCTCCCAGGCTGCAGAAACAGGCTGGTGTAGCGGGCACTGAAGTCCTCCGGAAGCACTGGGGCTGGGAGAGGCCAAGGAGAGCTTGATTTTGGCAGCCAGCTCCAGCAGCCAGGGGCCGCAGCTGGGTCAGCCCTCTGTCTTCCTGCAGAGAGCCATCACCATCCTGGACACGGAGAAGAGCTTCCTGAAGTGTATGAGGAAGGCCTTCCGCTCGGGTAAGCTGTTGCAGGTGGGGTACACCCCCGATGGCAAGGACGACTACAGGTGGTGTTTCAGGTAATGCCCATACAGCAGTCAAAGCTTGGGGAGCCAAGGGGCTAGGCTGTGGGTGTAGACGGCCCATCTGGAGCCAGCTGTGGGTGCAGGGCTTACCTCAGGGGCTCAGCTAGAACTAGCTGGGAGAACAGTGGCTGCCCTAGGACTCAGCTGTGGGCACAGGGGACCCACTGTGTGCACAGGGGACTTTTTTGGAAAATGAACTCTCCCGCGGGGGTTATCTAGTTATCAGGCCAGAACCAGGAAGTCAATATTTGAAGTCTCTGGGCCCCATGGTATGATGAGAGTATACATTTTCAGGGGTGGTGTCCAAAACGCAGGCCCCTGTCAGCCCTTCCTCGCCCAGCTGTTTCCCCATCCTGGTCTATGGGCTTCTTGGGATTGGCCCCTGGGGCCTTTGACCTGAAGCTGGGCATGGCTACGAGGCCACCTGCTCCATGCTCCCCCTTCTCCTCCCCTGCAGGGTAGATGAGGTGAACTGGACCACCTGGAACACCAACGTGGGCATCATCAATGAAGACCCTGGCAACTGTGAGGGCATCAAGCGCACCCTGAGCTTCTCCCTGCGGTCAGGCCGAGGTGAGGTGTGAGGGGAGGGGTGCCTGGAGGTGGCCTGATGTTGGGTAGGTAAAGCCCTGGGGGTTCCCTATTCCTTGCAGGCCTTCCTTCCCCTGGGCACAGCTGGGACTCTGGAACAGCCCCAAGTGTCAACCACCTGCACACACACAGTCACGGCACCCTGTGTGCTCTTAACGCTGGCCTGCACAGCTGATGGCTCCATCGGCCCAAGCACGCCTGCTCTCCCAGCACCCCTGGCCTAGGCACCTGTCCTCAGTGCCCCAGAGCAAAAGGCCCCACCCACATCCAGCCACCTGGGCCAGCAGGCCTTGGGCTGCAACCCTGCCCTGCTCCTCACACCCTGTGCTCGCCAGCTCCCGAGCCCATGGGCACAGACAGGACACGTCGCCCTCACCCTGTGTGGGCAGTCTGGCAGGGAGAGGAGGGAAGAGTGGAAGGAGGAGAAGGTACGTCTAGAGCAGAAAAGGTCTGAGGAAAAGCATTCACAAAAAGTCCTTTAACAGTTAATGGTAAACATGAAATTCAAGGTCTATTTGAGGACAGTTACCTAAAAAGGAAGCAAATCCAGTTTATGTGGCGCACATTCAGAATTATATTCACAACCCTGCATTCTTTGTTTTCAGTTCTGATTTTGCTTTATTTATTTCTATTATTTTTGTGACTTGTTAGGAACAGGAGAGGGGATGGAAGAGGCACCTGCATAGTCACAGGCAGGCAGGGGAGCGGCCTGTTTGCAGTTTTGAGAAAAATTTGTGGCAAACTATGTACATAAAAATTCGCCCTTTTAACCATTTACAAAAGTGTGCAATTAATGCAGCCATGTTGGTAACAATTACCACTAGCTATTTCCCAAACCTTTTCATTCTTCTAAATGGAAATTTACCTGTTCAACACTACTCCTCCTCCTACACCCCAGCCTTAGGAATCTATTCTACTCTTTGTGTCTCTGAATTTGTCTATTTTGGGTACCGCACGAAGTGAAGTCAAGTAATATTTGGCCTTCTGTGTCTGACTAACAATAGTCCAATTTCTATGTAGGCCAAATTTCATTTACTCATTCACCTGTGGGTTGACATTAGGCCTATCTCTACATTTTTGGCTATTCTGAATAATTCTGTTACCATCATACAAGATTCTGTTGGATACCCAGTTTTCAAATCTTTTGGGTAGGAGGGAGATGCTGGCTCACACCGTAATCCCATGTTTAATTTTTTGAGGAACTGCAGAGCTATTTCCTAAAACAGCTGTGCTATTTCACACTCCCATCAGCCAGGCCTGAGGCTTCCACATCCTCACCACCATTTATTATTATTTTTTATTTTACCATCCCAAGGAGGTGAAGTGTTTTTCTTCGCGATTTTGGTTTGCATTTTCCTAGTGGCGAATAATTCTGAACAATTTTTCATGTGCTTGTCTGTCCTTGTACGATATTCTTCGGAGCAATCCCTGTTCAAATTGTTTGTCCGCAAACAGGTTTTTGAATGATAGTTCTTTATATTTTCTGAATACTGGTACCTTATCAGACATGTGCTTCGCAAATATTTTCTCCTCTGACTTGTCTTTGTAATCGCTTTAACAGAATCTAATATACAAAAGATTTTTATTTTGATGAAGGCTGATTTCTTCATTCTTAAGTTTTATCGCCTGTTCTTTTGGTGTCAAATCCGAGAAGTCATCGATAAATCCAACGCCATGAAGATTTTCCTCCTATGCTCTTTTTCCTGAGCGTTGTATAGTTTTCACCTACTACCGGTTTTAGCTGCTTTTTCTTGGTCCGTGTTCCCGTGGTCTCTGTAAACTGTGGACTGTTCCGCAGAGTTCTGACAACCTTGGCTCTGAAGTTCCTGCTTGTTTTTTGAATATTCTGTGGAATCTTGGGTGTCTGGAGCTGCCTCGCTTGCCATTTTGCTGATGTCACTGATCGTTAATGCGAACTCTGAGGGCATCAAGTCCTTTTTGGCAGGTTGGGGAAGGGGTGTGACTTTCAGGCCACCTTGCCTGCTAGTGAGCTACTGCATCTCTCATAGTTGATGTTGCTTCATAGAGAAGCTCATTTTTTATTGCTCATCAACTTGATTTTATTTTTATTTTTCTGAGAACAGAAAAGGCGGATTTATTGAAATACACTGCTAAGAGAAGCAGCGGGCGAGACGGGAGAAGTCTGTGCCAGAAGAAGGAGTTGGGGCTCCCTATTTCATCAACTTAAAAAAAACTTTATTAAGATAGAAATCACAACAAAATACATACATTTAAAATGTATAGTTTGGTAAGTTTCAGCAAACACACACTCAGGTAACCTCCATCTCACTCAAGATACAGAGAGTTTCATCATTCCAGAAAGTACCCTCATACCTTTTTGTATTTAGTTCTCTTCTTCCCCGTTCCAGAGACTGTGAGTCTAATTTCTGTTACCCTAATTAACTTTATGTCAGTTCTTCTTTACCCAAAAAATGCCAATTTCATCCTGTGTTTGAAGGATGTTTTCAATGCACATAGAATTTTAGAGTATCAGGCATTCTTTCTCCTTTTTCTTTTAAAGCTATATGTTTTTATTGCAGAAAAGTTGGTTTACAACACTGTATGTTTTGGGGATATAGTTCAAACCTCCTCAAAAGTGTATTATCACACCATGACCACCACTAAAGCTCTAATAACTTCCACCATTGTCCAGTGGGTCCCCCTTCCCTACAACCCCTCCTCCCTTCCCCCCTCTGGTGGCCTCAATTCTGCAGTCAGATTTCAGGGGTTTCTTTGGAATTGTTCCCAACCTGCTATGCCTTGGGGGAGGCTGCTTTGGTTTGATTTTTTTTCCTGTTCCCTTGCTTTGTTTCTTTATCCAGTTTTATGGCTGTTTACAGCAGGATGGTTACCCCAACACTGGATACTCCCTCAGAGTGGGACTCTAGTTCCAGACATACTTTGGAAAACTACTGAAGGGCTTCACCAGTTTCCCTAAGGACCAGTGCTATCATTTTCCCATGTGACTCCCTGGAAACACTCCCGTGCCAGGCCACAGACTTACTGATTATATCTTCTTCAGCTGTTAACTGATATAAAAATCACAGAGCTTGAGTTTGCATGTGATTTGAACAGTTTTCCAAAATCACTCTTACTGATTTACTGAGATCCTAATCTTTTTAGAAAGATTTGCTGTTTCACTTGGCCGCTGATTTGTTTTTCATTTGTTTGTTTGCATGACATTGTTGGCTATTTACAACATTGCACATTCATTGTGATAATAATAAATGACATTGACCCAGTGACAGGAACACACACACACTCATGTCATTGGGGTGGAAGCAAGAGGTGCTTAGAAGCTCCTTGCTTTCACATATAATTAATTAGTGAATATTTCCTGAGGATTTTGTTTTCCTATAGAACTTTGTAACCATGGAAATGACAGTAATCAATAACCAAATAATTCAGATAACAAGGACTTCTCCCCACCTTGTGCAGGTAATTGGGATGGGGTGAGGGGATGCATGAGAGAAAGACCAGGAAAAGGAGTGGTTAGTAGCAGAGTTAGGGGAGCACATGAATGGTCTTGGTTTCAGGACTATGGGAAGTGGATGCTGAGAGCCCCCTTCCTCCTTGGAGAGCCTTGTAACTGGAATCAGGCAGCCCCAAGGTTGGGCGTCCCCATTAATCAGCCAGTCAGAAGATGGCATCTCTCGGCCTGTCTTCCCATGGACTCCTCCATGGCATTCTCTGCTGGGACCCTAAGGGGTCATCCGTTAGAAGCTAGTGCTTGGTATGTGACTAGAGTTGGGGGACAGGCCAGCATTAGGTGGAGGGCCTGGGGGAGTCCGCAGGAACTGGAATGGTCACAGTGGCCTCAGTCCTGACATTTTTTAATACCTTTGAGATGTGGTTAGTTTGGATATCGGGCCTGATTTAGGGCCTGAGGCTGTGGGGTGTGAATTTTGATTGGTTTTCTAGAGAAGTCAGATGGGTGTAGCTGATAAGGGCTCTGACGAATGGAAGGAGAGCTTGTGCAGCTTTCCTTCTTGCTCGTCATTTCTTTGCAAGCAGGGAGGGAGGTGGCTATAGGGAGGACAACCAGTTCATTCCCAGAAGTTTGCTAGAAGCTTCCTGGAATTTCAGGTCACCCTGGAGAACCCCACTTGAGGCCCAGTGTTGCCATGGTTCCTTTGGAATTATTCCCAACCTGCTGTGCCTTGGGCGAGCCTGAACCCCAAATCTTGATTCTCTTGCTGGTATTCATCACTCTAGAGTTGGCCTGGGGTATAGCTACTCACAGGGCAGGAAGGAAGTGGAGGCCCAGAGAGGAAATTCATGGACTCAATCTATGAGATCACAAGCAAGTTGGGGCATGGGGAGGGGTGTGTGTGTGGGGTGGATGGAGGAAGAGAACCTAGAGTGGTCAGAGTGGAGGTCCCTGAGCTGCTGAGGGGAGAAGAAATGGCTCAGATCCATTGTGCCTTACGGCACACCTACATGCCTGGGTCTCTTTATGTAGCGATTGGTACACCTAACAGGTAGATGTCTACTATTGTTTTGCTGCATTCAAGCCAATAATGGTATCTTGCCCTTCAGTTTCAGGGAGAAACTGGAAGAACTTTGCCCTGGTTCCCCTCTTAAGAGATGCAAGCACTCGAGAAAAGCACCCAGCCCAACCTGAGGAAGTTCATCTGAGGCCCTTCTCAGGGTCCCTCAAGCCAGAAGATGCTGAAGTCTTCAAGGATCCTTCTGCTTTTGGGGAGAAGTGAGGGACCCCCCAACAGGGTGCTCACAACTCTGTTGGGCCTTAGGATACTCGCCTGCTGCTGGGGTGCCCTGTGGGGTACCCCAGTGCTCCTGACTACCCAGCCCTGCTGGCACCTGCCTATCACTTCCTCAGACTACAGACAGGCTGTGGGAGCCTTGCTGGGTGCATGGGGAGAAGTGTCTGTCCAACCCACACTGACCCCAGGAGGATCTCCTAGCAGGGGGTGACCTTGTTTCCAAGATTTTTCTAACTTTATCAAACATTGGCCATGACCAATCTCTCCTTGGCCACGTGATGCCCCTGTTTTCTTCCATTTTATATTACTGGGAATAAATAAATGAAGGCCAGGAAAACAACTTTTAGAACAACATACTCCCCTTGATGTAAAATGTTGAGCTCGCCTCTCCTACCGGGTTTCGCAGCATGCCTTTTCCCCAAATGGTTTGGGGCCTTTGTGTCAAAGAAGGTGGGGGAGGCTGGCTTGGTTCCCAACTCTGCCACCACCAGGTTTTTCCAGAGTGACTTCATTCTTCCATGTGACACCTCACAGCTCCAAAAATGTTAGCTCTGTTGCTGTTTAAATAAAAATATAAAACTGTGTTCCCAAACCATGAGGCAAGAATTTTTTTTTTTTAAGATTTATTTATTTGTGCATACAGAACTGGGGTACAGGCCAGAGGCTCAGGGGCGGCGAAGGGCTTCACCAGAGACAGAGTGGGGAGCAGAACAGACAGATCAACGAAGTACACTGCTGGGGGAGCAGCGGGCGGGTCAGGAGAGGTCTGCCACGCCATGTGGTCACTTCCAGGGCAGGCGGGGATCGAACTCATGCGGAAGCGGCTTTAGATTCTCAGTGCTGTGCTTTAACCCACTGCGCCACCAGGGAGGGCCGAGGCAAGAATTTTTTAATCATCTTCGATTTGTAGTGAAGACATAGTCTTATAGTGACACATCAGCCTGTTCCCCTGCAGTGATTTGTATTTCCACCTCCATCCATCCCTTCACCCATCAAATAAATCAATCGACTATGCCGCATAGCTAGTTGGCTCCGTGTGGCCAGCGTGAGTGTGCGTGTGTTGTGCTACCTCACCTGGCTGGGAGCCGCTGGCCACTTGGATTGTTCCCCAGGGGCTAGGACACTCCATGCACACACCTTCCCTGTATGGCCAACTATGGGCCAGGGGCCACACCTGACCTGCCACTTGTTTTTGTAAGCAAACTTTTATTGGAACACAGCACGTCACTTTGTGCGCTAGCCCAGGGAGGTGTGGCTGCAGCAGAGACAAAAAAGCTGCAAAGTCTAAAGTATTTGTTATCAGAAATAGTAGCCCTTTATAGAAAAGTCAGCCTGCCCTGCTTTACGGAGTAGAAGGCAAGGAACAGAGTTAGAGAAGAACGCTCGGCTCCAGGTGCTGGCAGGGTTGCCAGTGTATTCTGCGGTGTGGGGAGTGAGCGGCCCGCCATGCAACTGTTGGGTGATGATTCAAGAAAAGAGGGGGGACATTAGTTGAGGCTGGAGGTCTGGTTCTTTTATGGGAGGGGGATCCAGAGGAAACTCTGGGACCCTCTTCATGCTCCTCAGCCCACACCAGCTGGACAGACAAGTCTGGGGTTGGTTGACCAGGTGGCTGGGTGCGAGTGTCCTGTGGTCAGACCACAGCAAACGAGCACGGGGGAGGAATGCTGGCAGCTGTGTGTGTGGAGTGTTTATGCAAAGTGTTTGATGTGCATTGTCTTTTAAGCCTCCTAACAGGCCATGAAAAGCTATTATTAGCTCCATTTTATAGACAAGAAAACTGAGGCTGGGACAGTTAGTAAGGTCATAGCCAGTAAACAGCCTCGTCTGGGAGTGACTCCAAAACCCACAACATAACCTTGGTGCTGGGCTGCCTGACAGAGCAGGCTGGGGCATGTCAGCCCGTCGCTGGGTCAAAGGCCGAGATGACTTCTTGCTTCCTACAAAGGTCCTGGGACACTTTCTTCCACCTGTAGGCCCTCGGGAAATGTGTAGAAGTCAGTTATCTGCAGGTTTTCAAATTTATCCAGGGTTAAAAGGACACTTGTGGATATTTGTAAAATATCACAAACTATTTTGTAAACCAGGGTTGTCAAAGGGGGACACTCCTTACTAACCTATTCTTTTTCTTTTTTTTTTTTCTGTTGCTGCATCTTTATCTCCCTCTGTCCCCCTGTCCCTCTGCATCACCTGGAGGCTGGATGACCACAAGCCACAATCATCCAGCCTCCAGGTGATGCGGAGGGACAACTCTCCGAGCCCAGGGAGGGCCTGTCAGGCTCTACAGGACTCCCCCAACCCCTGTCACAGTGGGTCTAGGAGTCTGGCGCTGCTGGTGGGCTCTGGCTAACTCTCGTCCCCCTCTGCCTCACCACACCATGTGGGATGTTTCTTAGAGCAGGTCAGGAGTTGGCCCCTTCTGCCTGCACCCACTCCACAGAGATCCCTTATCTTCCTCTCCCTCTTGGGGGGGGCAGCTTGTGGGCCTGCCCTCTGGGCCTGATGTCTACAAGGGTCTGGGAGCTGTGGGTGAGGGAGGCCACATCAGGGGTGTTTTACGGTCTCTAGCAGACAGGCACAGCTAACTAGGGCTTCAGCTCTGGACTCAGTCTGGTGAGAAGGGGGTACCTGTGTGTTCTGCTGGCAGATGTCTAGGGATTGCCTGAAACTCAGGCCTCTGAGGAGCAGGGTGGGGCAGGGAGATCCAGAAGCCACCCTTCCCTCTTGCTGCCTGCTACCCACCCTGGGTTCTCAGTTCCATCTCTCCTGTAATTTTGCCACACAGTCTCAGAAAGTCCCTTTTGGGACAGCTGCCTGTCAGGTTCCTCTTGTTCCATTTCCTGTCACAGGAGCAAGGGCCACGGAGGGGTGGGCACAGCCTGGCTAGAGGCTGCACCCCAGAATGAGGGGCTGGATGATGGCAGGTAGTTCTTAATCCTTCTAGGCGTCCAGGCGCTGGGGTGACCGTGAAGCTCACTGCCCACGTGGTGGCCAAGGCTGAGCTGGGGAGGCTTCTGCAGGCTTCCGAACTTGGTAGAAGGAGGCAGCCCTATTCCAGCCATGGTGCCGTGCGGGCCCCAAACACAGTGCAGGGATCCCACTGGACAAGAACGTTGGGTTCAGACAGGCAGAGGTGCTACCTCAGCCTGGCTGGCTCAGTTCCCTGCTGGGCCATTTTGGTGATACCATCCAAACAAGGCCCCATGGCTGGTGCCCCATCCTTCCTGACTAAGAATCAGGGCTGACTCAATGGCCCGAGGCCAGGCAGTGGGCTAGCCTGACTTTGCAGCAGCTCTGTCCACATGTTCACAAGTTCCTATGTTGCCAAGCTGGACCCCCTTTCTTGAACATGCTGGGGTCTCTTGCCTCCAAGTCCTTGCTCATGCAGGGGCCATCTTCTCTCCCCATGTCCAGCCCAAATGTCTCCTCTTCCCTGAGCTCATCTTCCACCTCCCCATTAGAAGGACTTCTCCCTCTTCGTGGCCTTTCCAAGCCACCTGTTAGGGTTAAGGCTCCTGCCGAAGCCTGTCTCCCCTGGGCTCACAGCTTCCTCGAGGGTGGGGCTCCCTTCTCCCGTTCTGAGTCACACACTGGCCCCTTGCTTCCCTGCCTGGCCTGTGGACCCTCACAGGTGTTGGATTCAATGGGGTTAAATGCAGACAAGCCCAAGGAGCCGGTGCTGCTATTTCCATGAATTTGGGGTGGGAGTAGGGGCCCATAGTTCTGATTCATTGGGATTCCTGCTGCCATGCATAGCAGGGAAGGGGCCCTCCCTTACTCCTTACTGGGAACAGTAAATGCTTTTGGGTGGGGGACATGGGACTTTTTCACCATCTCTGATGGCCGTTGACAAAATGTGCTAACCTAAGGGAAAATGCGAACACTGAAATTTGGCAAAGCTTCGCCCCCAGGCTTCTAAGGGATCAGACGCCAATGAGGAGGGACAAGGGGCTGAGTCAGGAAGGGCAATTAACTGAGTAATAGAGGGAGGACTAGACTTTAATGGAGGCGTTTCAGACAGCAATGAGGTTTTGAATTGTGTGCATGGGAACTTTGGGATTCCCTTAACTTAAACTGCAAATGTTGCCCTGATTCACCCACACCTGAAGCCTACTGGGCGTAAGGGAAGGCGAGGTTTTCTGGCCCTTATAGGCCACAGGTCCCGCTATACCAGGGTCCAGAAGCCTGCCCCTGCCCCTAGCCTCTCTCCAGTCCTAGCAGATTTGGGTGATGAGGGATGGAGGGATTGCCTTTGATGGTAGCTGGGGAAGTCCCTGTCACATCCGTCATCAGCTCTGTCTTGTCAGCAAACTTCCTGCTCTGTCCCAGTCCTGACTTGCCCCACGGGAACAGGTACACAATTCCTGAGTGACGTGGAGGCAGGCAGCGCCACCCCAGCCTTGCTCCACCCTCTCTGCAGCTGTGGCCTGGGCCGGAGGGAGGGCACAGTCTTCCGTGGGGCTCTGCCTTGGAGGCAGGTGGCCTTGGAAATTGCCAGGAGAATGTATTGGCATGACAAAAACAATGAAAGCTCACAGCAGTCACGTTACTCAGAGAAAGGACTTGCCCAAGGTCATACAACAAGAGGGGCGTAAGGAGGCTGACACGGTCTCTGGTGTATAATTTCTCCTTCTTCTGGTAGGAGCAGGGAATGGGCACTTGCTCTGTTTTTGAGGGGATGTGATCAGAGACTTTGAAGAACAGGTGCCAATTCTAGGGGTTGGTGGCCTTGCAGTCAATCAGGACAGCCCATGGCTGTGACCTTGCTTCCCAGGGGTCAGGGAAGAACTCTTGACTATTCATTAG